ACTACCTCCTCCTCTCTCTCTCTCTCTCTCTCTCTCTCTCTCTCTCTCTCTCTCTCTCGTTCTTCTCTTCTGACTGTAGGCCCGTGCACCACAGACCCGTACTGCTCGATGTACGGACCACGCGTGATTCTTCGGCCCTTACCGTCCCCTCCCCCCCTACCTCCCTTCCTCCTCCTCACCTGTAGTACGCGCGCCTCCGCTCCCGCGACGCCGAAAAAGGGCCAACCATATTTCAATGACGTCATCGGCACAAAAGCGCGCGCGCGCGCGAGGGGCTTGCGTGGCCGCGCGACTCGCAAAGTGCTACGTAGAAGCGCACCAGAAACTGGCCGGATTTACTCGCGCGGTGACAAAGCACCTGCTGTCCCGCCGTGCCTCGCGCTCGCCTTCCTCAAAGCTTACCTGCCTCTCTCGTCTGTTACTGCCTATTCTTCCACCGCCTCTCCGCCTCCTCCTTCTCTTCTTCTTCTTCTTCTCCTTCGACGCTGCGCTGCGCGCCTTTCCCTGCCGGGCGCGCGGAGTCTTGTTCGTTCTGGTATCGCGCCGCTTCCATATGGAAGCTCGTCTCCATTGTTCGAAAGGGTCGACCTTCTGCCTACGTCTACTTATCGGCAAGTTGCCGTGCTCGTTCGCCGAGAGATATAGGAGATATCCGTTTCGTTATAGATCAGGATTCCTCGATGTCCGAGATGTGTGTAATCTTGACGTACAAGCTGTTGAATGTAATTCTGCTATAAATCATATAAACATGTAGAAGTAAAATAAAACTCAGAGTTTCCATGCACGATTGTATCAATGTGAAGTGAAACATTTGATTCTGTATTTCATGAAATCCTAGAAAAATTCTATAAATAGTTGTTATGATAAACAAGCTGCTTTACGTCGACTTGTATCACTTGGGAATTTTCCAATTCTAAAACATTTTATTTGTATCACTTTTTCGCCCATTCAGATTGTGTAGATTTTATTTAATATTGATTCGAATTTCTTATTAATTTACTGATACATCTTTTAGTTTTAAATAAGGTCTCTCTCTTCCGCAGTTGTTTTATCTTTTTCAGAAATACTTCAAGCATCTTTAAATAGCTTAAATAATTCCTAGTAGCCTTCTTTTTTCCAGTTTTTTTTTTTGTGATATCTACTGTAGTGTTGCAATTTGCAAAATTATCGTCGAAAAAGGTTCTTTTAGGCAACCGGAGGGATTCTAGAAAACCCAAAATTCTCCAGAGATTCAAATGAGACGCTTAGTGGAAAAGAAACACGGCGTATCCCTTTGCGCGTACTCTTGAAGTGGAAATTCGTTCAGACTCTGAAGAACCCTTGGCGCCATCTCAACAAGAGCCAGCCAACCTGTGGCTTGCTCGTCTGATGTGTCTCGTTCCTCTTCTACTGCGGATAACTCCCACCGTCAGTTTGCCTTCCGCTGCTCTTATTTTCAACTGGCCTTACCTGCTCCTGACGGCCGATCGAACGGCGACGTAAATATTGAGCATTTCCGCGAAGCGGCTGCCAAATCCACTTGCATCCCTTCCGCTTATCGACAGATCCCGAATACCTGTGGAAAAGCATCTCTCGACACATCAGGAATCGGGTACATAAGACGCTTTCGTAATTTAACGTCGCGTAAAATGCGCGGCGGCTTTCCTCCCGTACATTTGTCATAATTGTTATTCGAAAGAATTATTTTTATTAGAATTCGAAGAAAATACACAATATTCTCGAGATCGTTTTTCATTTTTCTGTCAATATTGATAATTATATTAATATGCGCGCTATAAACACAATTTATCCTCTAAGCGTCTATTAAATTTCAACTTACAATTATTTTGAAATCTACTTTAAAGATAGAAGGAAGTTCAAAAGAATATATATTGGACGTATTATATTTGTATTATTAAAATTACTGTATGCGTGTGTAATTTAAATTACCGGGAGGTTTTATCACAAAATTTATTGTAAACGTGATAATGCGCGTTCGCGATACGGGCTTTCCGGTGAAATCTCTCAGAGTTTGGAGAGCAAAGCGCGAGAGAACGAGCGTCGAAGAAACGTTACTGGATTATGGTGGACGGGCACGCATCAGCCGCAGATATATGCGAGCGCTTACGCAGACTAATGTCCGAGCGCGTGGGGATTCGCACGGGTGCGAGAGTGTGCGCGGATGTTCCTAATACGAA